GGGCTGCATGCTATTAGTTTCTTGTTTTGTGTAAATTCCCTTGGAAGGATATGACTACCAGTTTAGTGGCAGAATACAGTGACATAGCATGGCCCTAATGTCATAATTATCCATAAAGAACTGACAGAGATCTTTCAATGTCTCTGACGAAGTCAAGAGACATGTCATTTTTAGGTTCTGCTGAATACATAAAAATTGCCTAAGAATTAACCTACAAAATAAGTGCAGCAGTATTTCTTCTGGGCTCTGTTGTAATAAAACCGAGTTGCACCAGTCTTTTCACGACTGGTGAGAAGCACTGGAGGGCCACATCCCTGAAGCATCTCTGGGAGGAAAAGAGAGCCTAAATTACCACCCATGGGCCCAAATGTGCCTGGACCCTTGTCTGAGTCTTCTCCACGTTTCCCTTCAGGGTACAGCAGCTATGGGAAGCTGTGTTTCTGTGTGGAAACCCAGAGATGCTCTTGTGTTGGGAGTAAGCAGGGAGGGAAATGCCCTCATGGGATGCCGTGCCATAACAGCCCCTTGGGGATGCACAAATCCTTGGCAATTAAACATGAATAAAGAAGGCTGGAAGCTGGGATGCCTCCTATTGTGCAGCTGGATAGAGGAGAACAGAATTTGTGTCACCCGGCAGTGGGGCTGCAGAGGAACCCCTTGCTCTGGGCCCAAAATGCTTCTGGCCTTGCAGGGAGGGGATGGCTCCTGTGACTGAAAAGAAGAACAGAAAGCAGCAGCAGATAAGGGTATTTTTTTATGTAGGCTTTTTAAATTAGTCTTTCTATTCTTCTGGAATAACTATTTCCTTACAAGTGCGCTCTTGCCCTATCAGATCTATGCTTAGGTCATGTCCAGCTGTTATTTGTATGAATATGTGATTGCTATGTTTATCATGTCACAGGCACTTCCTCTGCCTGCTGCATGCCTGCCTCTCTCGGACGAGCCTACTTTCAGCATTTCAAAGGGTCGAGCAGCTTCCTGCAGCCGCTCTTTGTGAGCACTGTGGCCATCCCAAGCTCATGCCGCCACATTTTAAGACAGCTTTTGTCAGTCCCGTATTTTGCCAGCCTTTCTCATGTTAGAGTGAAATACACAAACCTGTAGATACTTTGACTTGTAAGCATTTGAGGATTTTCTTTAGTTTGTTCAGATAAATCTCTTGGCACAGCAGCGAGCCCATTTGCTTTCAAGGCTGGAGCTCTGTGCTATAACCCCTTTTATTACTTAATCTCATCCACATTGGTTGGTGGTGTGTTTTGTCAGTGACACACTGCCGGTGACACGCTGCATTTGAGTGTGTTTGTTTAGAAAAGTTCAGGACTGCTACAGGCCTGAACTTTAAACTGTTCAAATGCCAGTTCCAAATTTGAGGGTGAAATGGTCACACACAATATTCAAACTGTGTGGTGCATGTTACAATAAAAATATCGGCGGGCATGACTACACAGAATAAATGTTGGTGCTGTAGAAGGCCTCAAGAACATGGGAGTTGTTACACACAATAGCTTTTGTTGTACATTTTTGTTGTACATTTTTGTTGGATGGTGCTTGTTGTTAAAGGTACCATATGTGGAATGTTTACATCCCTGGTGGAAATGCGATTGCAGAGCTGAAGTCCAGTCTAAGTAAGCAGTCATCTCCAGCTGGGTACTGTGGCTGTGATCACTGTAGGTGGAAAATACCAGGCAGTTCAAAGGAGATATTTAAGATGTTCACTAGATAATTAATTGAAATAATTACGTTCCCAGGGACAGCTTTTCAGCTGTCAGAGGTAGGGCACCATCGCAGTCATTTCTGGAGAGGACCTCTCCTGCTACCCAAAATGGTTCCTGCCCGTTTGGTTGAGTGCCTGAATGAAAGGCCTGATCCAAATGCTGCTGAAGCTATCTGGAAGCTTCCCATTGCTTTCAAATTGTACGCAATAAGTCTGACCCTTTTTAAACATTTAATAATAATTCCTCCATTTGCAAAAACAAAATTGGATTCCAAATATTTAGATTGCTAAAGAAAGGCATGTAGTAGTATTTTCCACAATATTTTACACAGACTCAGTGTGCAGGAAAATGCTCATGCCTGATTTCCCATAGGATGCTGGAAGAAATCCTATGAAGTGATTCTTTTCCATGAGCTAGGACCAGGCAGTGTTTACATACGCTTGTGGCTGAGACATCTTTTGGGGAGAAAGGTGAAAGGCTATGATATTATTTGGTATAAAAAGAGTTCCAGGCTTGAAAATCCTCTATCTTCAAGAGTCACAGGGCTAACTCCTGCCACCATTTGAGGATTTGATTCTTTGAGGATTAGGACTATGTGAACAAAGTCCTGCATGTGATGTAGGAGCTACTTGCTGTGTTGGGCCCAGCATCTCTTGTCACTCAACAGCTGCTCCGTCGGCTGGTGGGATGAGAAGTGGTAGGAAAGGATTCGAGGAGAAATCGCAGAGACGCGGGCACGCCAGGGAGGAGCGGCGTGATTGATGCTGCTGAAATGGGAGTCCTAAGGAACTCGGTATTACACTCATTTGTATTATGTCACATTGATACGGCGACGTGCTAAAATAAGTGGCTTCTAAAGCGTTTGCTGATGGTGCTGCTGATCTGAGCAGGATTAAAGCCCATCAAGCACCCGAGGTATGACTGCCTTTGGCCGTTTTACAGAGACAGACTCTGGCGTGAAATTCTTGCGACCTACACCCACTTGGTATGGTGAGTAAATTCCAAACGCGTTTGCGGAGACATTACACAGTGGTGGAAGCAGTTTTGGGGTGTTCCTGGCAAATGTTCTTCTGCCTTTTAGATGAGCGCAGACCTTCATCACCTGGCCATGAACAACGGACCCGTGGCTCACATCACGCGTGGCTGACACTGGGTTTAGCCCGAGGCCAAAATCACGGGGACCAGTTCAGGCTCCTGGGGGGCAGCAGCCACAGATCGGGCAGCGCTCCTGGCGTCTCCCTCGGCTCGGGCTCGGGGCTGGGAGCCAGGTGGCCGGGGCTGGGAGCCAGGGAGCCAGGTCGCCCTCGATCCCTCGGGTGGGCGCTTGGCGAGGGGCGCGGAGGCGGGCGCGGAGCGGGGAGTGGGAGCAGGGGCGGGGGGTTTTCGGGGGCGGCCGCCCCCCAACAGGGCCGGGGCTGCTCCGCACGCCCCCGGTGCCCGTCCGGAGCCGCGGGCACGCGCGCAGACGGGCACGCGCGGAGGCGGCGGAACGCGATGCGCGCCCCGAGGCACCTCGCCCGCCCCGGGGCCGGGGGGAGCCCGCGGGATCCGCGCCGCCAGCCCGCCCGCCCCTGCCGCTCCCTGCGCTCCGGACCCACCCGCCAGCCTCCTCCTCCTCCTCTCTGCCTTCTTCTCCTGCTTCTTCTCCTGCCTCTTTAACCGGCTCCGACTGCACCCGCCCGAGCCCCGAGAAGATGCCCGCCCGTGGAGCGAGGAGAGGGCAGCGGGTCGGTAAATAAGAAGTGAGTAGGAGCACAATGGCGTGCCTCCCTCCCCGCTGCCAGCCCTGCGGATGCTGCGTGCGCCCCTGCCTCCCCGCGCCCCTCTCCACCTTGCCTGGCCGCCTGCCCTGCCCTTCTTCCTTTCCTTTTTCCCTTCCCTTCCATCCCCTTCCCGTCTCCGGAGCATCCCGGCGGGGGTCCCCCGGCGCATTGCACCGGCCGCGGGGAGGGGGCGGCGGTGCCCGGTGCCCGCTCCTTTGTTCGCCGCCGCGGCTCGGCGGGGCCGGCCGGGAGGGGAGGGGGCGGCCCCGGACCCCCCCTTCTTCCCCACCGCAGCCCCCATCCGCGGGGGGCTCGGAGGGTCGCCCCCGGGCACGGTGAGGGGCGCGGGGGGGTGAGGGCGGGGGTGCGCAGCGCGGTGCGGGCAGGTGTGTGCAAGGGGGGCGCCGCGCCCGGCCCCCGGCTGGGAGGGGGGTCGTGGTGAGGCGGCCCCGAAGGGGGTGAGAGGAATGCGGGGGTGCCCAGGACCCCCCACTTTGGCCGGGGGTCGGGGATAGATGCTCCCCCCCCGCCCCATCCTCTGTCCCCCGCCGCAGCAGGTGCCCGGGGTGCCCCTGCGGGGCCGTCGGGTCCCGGCTCTGCCAACCGGGGGGGCTCCGCTCTGCCTCCACAGCTGGGCTTCCACCCCCCCGGCAGCTGGGAGCCGTGCTGCGGCCATTCAGCGTGTACTTGTAATTCAAGACAAATTAAATATAGCTTCTGCAGTCAACTGCTGCGGCCATCATCCCGCAGGAGACCTTTACCTGCACTTGATGTGGCGGATTTTTTTTTTTTTCCCATTGCCCGCGTAGTTGCTGGCAGTCACATGAGTTATGGAGACACTTGATAACGCGCTCAGCTGCTCGTTTCCTAACCCTGTGGGTTTTCGTAGCTGTAAATAAAAATACCCGCTTTAACAAATGGGTGACTTTTCCAGTAAGTGCACGTGTTTGACTGGTATTTTCCGAAGGGTTTGATCGATACGCAATTAACGCTTTAGGAGCGGTATGATGAAGAGCGCATTGTTTTTATGGCTGCGTCTGGGGAGTTGCAAAGTGATCGTGCAACTGTTGTAAGAGAGCGTTTGTCGGATCACAGGGTAGAATAGGTAAGAGAAAGACGGCTTTGCATTTTTCTGCTACTTCTGTAATGCCAAGGAAATACAGCTGGAAAGCTGCTTAGCAGTGCTTAAGGCAGTGGTGGACGTAAAGAATCTCTGCAGCAAAATGCCACCTTACACAAATACGCAAATAGGGGGAATCCTGCCTTTTGGAAGTGATCATGTATCGTAAGGGGACACACACAGAGAAAATGTTGCAAATGTGGGTGTGAGTGTAAACAGATAACACTTCCCCGAGCAGCAGTTTTGTTGTAAGGCGGCATGGGATTTAAGGGAAAGATTCCACTATGTAAGAATTCCACTTGGAAGCAGTAGAATTTCTGTAATCTCTTGGCAAGAAGGAAGCTCTGTTAACACACGTTGACCAGCCCTGTAAAAATTAACTTTCTTTTTCTGTTTTGTTAGTGGCGGCACCTGACTTGCTGGATCCCAAATCGGCCACTCAGAACTCCAAACCAAGATTATCATTTTCTACCAAGCCTACCGTGCTCACTTCACGGGAGGAAAGCGATTCAGCTATTAATGTTATGAAATGGAAGACAGTCTCAACAATTTTTCTGGTGGTGGTCGTGTATTTAATAATTGGAGCGACAGTGTTTAAAGCCCTGGAGCAACCTCATGAAACCTCCCAGAAAACCACCATTGTGATTCAGAAGCAGACGTTTGTGTCTCAGCATTCCTGTGTGAATGCAACAGAGCTTGATGAACTGATTCAGGTAATCCATACGACACCTTTGTCGCCCTGCCTTAGAGAGACAAATAATGTATGGCAGCACTGCTGGCATACAGGGGGAGAGCTGTCTTAGCCGAGCTCCGTGTTGGCCATGCAATGTAACAAGTGGTGAGGCCAGAAGTTGAGCAATAGCATTTCCATGCAAAGCCTCGTGGTGGAAAATCTACTGCTATTTTTAGGTCCAGTGCACTCAGTAGACAGCCTTTTCATTGAAGCCACCCATTATGGTAATTAAATGATTATTCATCAGCAATATATATAATTAATAGTTCACAAAGGAGTTGATATATTGATTCGTGCCTTACTAGGTCTGTCAATATCTGAGAAGCCCAATTCTGAAGAAGAAAATACACCATCCATTGCCTTAAAGGAGGTCTAATTTACCGTGATTGTATCAAGCTAGCTTTCCTTCCAGCTGTATGCTTCTTTTTATTGATTTTGTTTTAAGTACAGGAAAGCACCATGCACTTGCTATTTTGATCTTAAATCTCAATTTTCTGTGCTTCTTAAAGGCGCATTCCCAGCTGATGTAAATCGGTGTGTTCCTACTAACACGACTTTACCCTTGCAGGTCACCTGGCTTAGAACCATAGGAAATACTTATTTGCAGTAGCACAGAAACAGATTCAGAGCCTCGTGAGGCCCTTTCCAAGTTAAATCCTGTGCGCCTGTATTCTTATGGCTATCCAGCAGCACTGCGGGGAACAGCAAGGGGCTGCCAAAAATGTCACTTCTGGGAGTGGGAGGCTGGGGTGAACAGCCAAGAGCTGGCAGGGATTGATCTTTTCATTCACAGAAACCGCGGGGCCATCTGGGGCTGTGGGGCTGGAGGTGGGAAGGGGACGAGCAGAAGAGGGTGGGGGGAATCCGTGTGCCATGGGTAGCGCAGGCTCCGGAGCTGGCCAGTGGCATGGGCCACAGGGCCTTCTGGAGGTGGATTTTAACAGCAGATCTGGCTGAGAGCTTAGAATTTTAATTTAGCTACCTAGACCAACCTGCCTTGAGCATGGCATTGGCACAGACACCTGTTTTTTTGCAGCTTCAAATACAAAGCTCTGGTTTACTGAGTTCTTTTTATGACACACCGCTTCTAAATTTTGAAGGCAAACTAGGAAAATGCCTTGCAGTTTGTGATTTCTGCCCCCCCCCCCCCCCTTTTCCTTTTCCCTCAGAATTATTCCAAAAGTGGAACCCTTTAAAATGACTATTCAGCAATTCCTATCTCCATGCATCCCAACTAGGCATGCCTGAGGAGGTGCTGTCGATCTGTACAATTTTGATGCTATGTAATAAATATGTGTCAGCGTTTTTACCAGCAGAATGTGAGCTAATCTTTCAAAGAGATACACACACATTCTGATTAAAAATAATCTCTTGTAGCTAGTATAAATATCCCATATAAATTTTTTAGGTCAAATCCTGTACTTTTGAAGATAAAAATAGAAATATGGAAGCAATATTATCTTACATCATCTACGAGATGGTCCTGAAGGCAAAAAAAAAAGTTGAAATTTGCACTGGAGTATTTAGATATTTAAGCATTTATGATTCCCTACCCAGAAGCACAGACTGGTAGTAGAAAATCACTTAATCAGCATTCAAAGCCCATTTGATGTGCTGTGTAAAATAAATGACAGCTTCAGCACAGCTATCAGTGCACAGATACCCGTATCAGAATTAGTTCCCTTCTAGCTAGCAATCTTGGCATGACCAGAAAAAACAAAGGCTTTTGGAGCATGGCAGGTGACACAGCCACCCACAGCACGTGAATGCGAGGTGGTGCTTGTGGGGAGAATTTGCTGTGCTTGTTGGCTGGCTAAATGGAAAAACTTAATTCCTCCTTGTTCCTTTCTGCTGATCAGAACCCTCCTCAGCACTGTGAAGACCAGGGCATGGAGTTAGGAAGGTGCTGTGGTTCCCCTCTTATAGGAGGAGGACAGAGGCAAAAGGGAGCCAAGGCCAAGTCCTACAAGTACATGTAACTGCCTTTCTTTCTGCGGAATAAGTGATAAAGGATTACATCAAGTTGTTTAAGGATCTGGAATTAAGTGGCTTGCCCAAAATAAAATAGGAAATCTGTGGAAAAGCAGCATCTCAAATCAATTTTTCTCCAGCTACCCTAAACATGGGGTCAAATTTCTTCCCACTTTGTCACAGAAGCTAAATTATTGGGAAGTGTTTTGTCTCTCTGGGCTTATGTCTGACTGTTAGTACAATATAATGCAGTGTTTCTTCAGTTTCCATTGGATGTCTGTATGAATAAAACTAAATAGTGCGTGTAAGGAAAAAGTAAATGATATTTAAGAATTCACTGAAAGATACCAAACTGAAAATTAATACGTTCTAGCGCAGTAGGAAGCTGGAATGCTTAGTGTGTGTGAAGAAAATTACAGAGCTTACAGACTATAATGTCTTCTTTAATCAAGTGTTTACATTGAGTCAAACTATAATGAAATTCATTATAAAATTTTCCTTTTGAACTTAATGTTCTGGGAATTCAGAAACTGGTTTGGCTCTCGTTTGTTCTAGTCTTTGCTCAAGGTGCTTATCATGCAAGGCATTTTCAATATTTACAGTTTTGGGTCTGCCATTTAACCCTTACTCTCAAGCAGTCTTGACCATCCCATCGACTCCTAACTGACAGTACATTGTGTGGTGGTTTAGTCAGGTGAGCAAGTTGGGAAGACTAGCCTGAGAACACAAATTCAACCAAATTCATTTGTGCAAGTGGAAAAGTCCAATTCACTAGCACACAGGTGCTAGTTCCATCGTCTATTGATAAAATCTTTATTTGCCCAAGAGCTGACTACAACACACAAAGTTGTTAGCTTCTAGCAATGCACACAGGTCAGGGAATTTTTGCTGTCTTTCAGTCTTGTTTTCTCTCACTAGTCACAAAAAGCCTTCCTGGCAAAACAGTATATGCTACTGATAAGTTTTCAACACACAGAGCTTTATTGCTCAGGTTCTGAATTCCTGAAACTAAACGTTTTCACATTGATCGTGTGGCTCTTCTAGGTGTGCTCAGTGGGAATTATATTTTTATATACTTTATATATCTGATATACATGTGAAGCCAGGGGTGATGGAGAGTTGCTATGCAGTGCAGAGATCATGTAAAGTGAATGAAATAGAGTGCCCTGCTGATGACAGCCAAGCAAACTCATCTGCCTCAGAAAAATGACCTGTGTTTTCTTCGTAACTTCTGGGAGGTCAGCTGAGTCCTGCAGCATTGTGTGTGTGCTGACAAAGAGGTGGTCTTCATGACCTTCTCCATTGCTGACCTCCATGCTCTGGTGCTGCAAATCTCTTTCAGTGCTCACTACTTCTGTTCCTTGTTGCCTCACCGCAATAAAATACACCTGAAATGAACAACGGCAATGCATGACCTTGAGGCCTGATTCCAGAAACCATTTTTTTGATATTCCACAAGCACTGCTATTTAGCACCAACCTTCATATGTGCGCAAGTCATGCAGAGGGTTTCTTTGCACCCAAGAGCCCATTTTTTTCAGGCAACTTCAACTCTCTTTGCTGTAGCCTGAAGCAAGTATTAATAACAATATTAAGTGGATCACTGTGTGCTCTACACACCGATGCTGAGCTTGGCAGTGCACAGCGTTAAGTGCTGGTGTGCCCATGATCTACAGCTAAAGAAATCCCCCATCATGGAAACTTGTGAACATACAAATGCTGCCTGGGTGAGTCTGATGAGGACGCAACAGCCCAGCTAACTGTGTGTGGTCTCATGTCAAACTTGTGTTACTAAAGTTTCGGCTGGAAGGTCTTGAAAGGGTCTTGGTTATTAACAGATGAGGAAGTGTTTGGTGAAAGTTGTGTATAATATCTCACACATTATAAAGCTGTGGCCAGAGACTTTGCTACTATTTCTGCTATAAGAAGAAGAACTCTTGTCAATTTTCATGGATTTTTTTTTTTTTTTTTTTTTTGTTTCTCCATCCGTGCCTGCGCTCAGCTTGACCCTGACATGCCATAGCAGATGACAAAATAAAAGAGCAGAGGTAGTCAGGCTGTCTGGATTTCATGTATATGAGAAAGGAAAACAAACAAACAAACAACAAAGCAACAACTACAGAAACAAAACAAAACAAACAAACAAACAAAAAACCCGATCTCCATTGGAACTTTTTTTCTCTCCACTAGTGAGTTTTTTGTTGACAGAAGCTGATAGAAACCTGGGAGTAATCCAAGGAACAATAAGAATTAGAGAATGAAAAAAAAAATCTCTAATTAGAGCACTTGAATCTCTAATTATTTTATTCCAGCTTCATTTCTCCTTTAGTGTGTCGACTATTCCCTCTGCTAAACTTGCCAGTAAAGTTTTGAAAATGTCGGAGGCAGTTTCCAAGCTCAGATGCACAAAGTGTTGTCAGGTACCCAGAAAGATCTCCTGCTGTATTCATGCTGTATACATGCACATCATGTTAGGATGTGACCAGTGTTGTGTATTGTGGGCTGTCTTGGCAATGAGAGACGAGTATTTGTCCTCCTGCCAAAGAGAAAGCTGATTAAAAAAAGAGGGAGAGGGAGAGAGAAGAGCTTTTTATATAAATAATACCTAATTATGTATTACTCAGCAGTTATCTGTTTTAGGGTTGGCCTTTATAAACCAAAATGAAAAGAAAGTCCTTTTACTCCCCCAAGCATCAAGTTGTTTAGTGTATTATTGTACAAAAATTGGAAATAAAAGAAATCTCAGTTAAATTATCTTAAATATCTGAAGTGTCCTAGCAAACAGGTGTGAATTATTTTAGTTATCTTAGTAACTTACTTAATGAAACTTAATAAAGATTGTTAAAGTAAAAACTGAAACTAACAGAACATATCTAATTTTTGGTTCTTTTAGCAGAAAATTCCTTCAAATATGTTCATTCTGAAGACCCCAACAAGTGGAAAAATTAATATCAGAATAAACAACACAATCTTTTAATGTGTTCCAAGTGCTGTTTGTGGTAACTCTTGT